CTGGGGGGGGGAGGGGGGGTCACTCCTCCCTGGCTGGATTTGGGAATTCTGGGATTCGGGAACAGGGACCAGCCCAGGGGGAGGAGCAGCCCCCCCCCCAAAAAAAAAGAGGGAAAATGATGAGCCTGGATGAATCCCATGGGATTTTTGGGAAGCCCGGTGGCACCTCCAGGCTGATTCCTGGGGATTTAATTCCCAAAGGAAGGGGGGAAAACCCGGGATTGGCGTTCCCAAGGATTCCAGCGTTCCCAAGGGAGCTCAGCATTCCCACAGGGAATGTCACTCCCCCTCCCCAAGGCTCCTGAGCCCGGGATCAAAGAGGAAAAAGGGATGGGAAAAGCAGGGATTTCCCTTCTCCGGGTGGATCTGGGGCTCCGGTATCCCTGGGGACACCGGGAATGTCACCGGTCCCCCTCGGGAAAAGCGGGAATGGGGCTGGGGAGCGGCTCCCCCCCTTCCTTCCTGAGGGATTTTCCCTCTTCCCGACCCCGCTGCTCCCAAAATCCCGAGGCTGGAGCGGCGATCCCGCTCTGGAATCTTCTGGTGACGCCCTGGGAGCGTTTTCCATGCGGTGGCTGCGGAATTCCAAGGAGGGGGTGACAGGGACAGCCTGGGAGCGGCTTTTTCCAGGGAATGTCACCTGGAGCCGCCTGGCACTGCTGTCCCCTCTCCCCCGGCCCCTGGAGAGGATTTTCCTGCTCCTCCCGGAGAGGATTTTTCCCTCTTCCCAATCCCAAAGGGACAAGGATAGCCCCAATCCCAAAGGAAACGGGAGCAGGGATATCCCAATCCCAAGGGATTTCAGGGAGATCCCAATCCTAAAAGAAATGGGAGCAGGGATATCTCAATCCCAAAGGAAACGGGAGCAGGGATATCCCAATCCCAAAGGAAATGGGAGCAGGGAGATCCCAATCCCAGGGGATTTCAGGGATTTCCCAATCCCAAAAGAAGTGAGAGCAGGATTTCAGGGATTTCCCAACCCCAAAAGAAATGAGAGCAGGGATATCCCAATCCCAAGAAAAACAGGAGCAGGGATTTCCAAAGATACCCCAATCCCAAAGGAAATGGGACCAATCCCAAAGGAAACAGGAGCAGGGATTTCAGGGATAGCCAAATCCCAAAGGATTTCAGGGATACCCCAATCCCAAAGGATTTCAGGGAGATCCCAATCCCAAGGGATTTCAGGGATATTCCAAGGGATTCCAGGGAGATCCCAAAGGATTTCAGGGATACCCCAACCCCAAAGGAAACGGCACCAGGGAGATCCCAATCCCAAGGGATTCCAGGGATATCCCAAGGGATTTCAGGGATACCCCAATCCCAAGGGATTCCAGGGAGATCCCAAAGGATTTCAGGGATACCCCAATCCCAAGGGATTTCAGGGATATCCCAAGGGATTCCAGGGATATCCCAATCCCAAGGGATTTCAGGGATATCCCAAGGGATTCCAGGGATACCCCAATCCCAAGGGATTCCAGGGATACCCCAATCCCAAGGGATTCCAGGGATATCCCAAGGGATTCCAGGGCTATCCCAAGGGATTCCAGGGATATCCCAAGGGATTCCAGGGATATCCCAACCCCAAAGGAAACGGCAGCAGGGATGCCCGAGGGAGATCCCGCTCTGGAATCGCTTCGGGATCACGCTCCGGGAGCGTTTCCCACGCGGCGGCTCCAGAATTCCACGGAGGGAACACCAAGGAGCTGCTGGGAGCTGCTTTTTCCAGGGAATCTGGGGAAGGAGAAGGCGCCATCAGTCCGACCTCGAGAAATCCACGGAGAGAGAGAAAGAGAGGGAGAGAGAGAAAGAGAGGGGGAGGAGAAAGGAGCGAATCCCGCGGGGAGAATTTTCCCAGGGAGGATTTTCCCGGGAGAATCCCAGTCCGGGAATGCTGCAGTCCTATTTGTGGCTGTTGTAGGCCTTGTGCCGCTGGTTCATGGGGTTTTCCGGGGATTTCATCCACTCTTTCTTCAGCAGCTGCCGCAGCTGGCTCAGCCGCATGTTGGGATTGTCCCGTTTGAGGCGCGGCAGCTGCAGCTCCTCGAAGGCGGCGAAGGCGGCGCGGAGCCGGCGCTCGGGGTGGCGCTCCTGGGGCTGGGACACGCTGTGGGGACACAGGGACACCTTGTGGGGACACAGGATGGACATGGGGACACGCTGTGGGGACACAGGGACACATTGCAGGGACATGGGATGGACATGGGGACATGGAAGGGAGCAGAGCTGGCGCTCGGGGTGGCGCTCCTGGGGCTGGGACACGCTGTGGGGACACGGGGACACGTTGTGGGGACACAGGGACACATTGTAGGGACATGGGATGGACATGGGGACACGCTGTGGGGACATGGGGACATGGGATGGACATGGGGAGACGCTGCCAGGGACACGGGCATGGGGACATGGACATGGGGACAGGAATGGACACGGGGACAGGGACACGGGGACATGGGGACAGGGGGACAGGGATGGGGACACAGTGGCAAAGGAAATGGCCCCAATCCCAACGGGAACGGCCCCAATCCCGACGGGAACGGCCCCAATCCCGACAGGAACGGCCCCAATCCCAACGGGAACGGCCCCAATCCCGACGGGAACGGCTCCAATCCCAATGGGAACGGTCCCAATCCCTACGGGAACGGCCCCAATCCCAATGGGAACGGCCCCAATCCCAACGGGAACAGCCCCAATCCCGACGGGAACGGCCCCAATCCCGATGGGAACGGCCCCGATCCCGACGGGAACGGCCCCAGGGATTTCCTGGCTGCCCCAATCCCACAGCAATCCCCCCGGGAATTCCGGGACACGCCACCCCTTCCTCCCCAAATCCCGGGATTTCCCGCCGGCATCCAAAGGCCAGAGGTCTCAGGGATGATCCACAGGGAATTCCATGGGGAATTCCATGGGAATTCCATAAATTCCATGGGAATTCCATGGGCAATTCCATAAATTCCATGGGAATTCCATAAATTCCATGGGGAATTCCATAAATTCCATGGGAATTCCATGGGGAATTCCATAAATTCCATGGGGAATTCCATGGGGAATTCCATGGGAATTCCATAAATTCCATAGGGAATTCCATGGGAATTCCATAAATTCCATGGGAAATTCCATGGCCAATTCCATGGGGAATTCCATAAATTCCATGGGAATTCCATAAATTCCATGGGGAATTCCATGGGAATTCCATAAATTCCATGGGGAATTTCACGGCCAATCCCATAAATTCCATGGGAATTCCATGGCCAATCCCATTAATTCCATGGGGAATTCCATGGGCAATTCCATGGGAATTCCATAAATTCCATGGGAATTCCATGGGAATTCCATAAATTCCATGGGAATTCCATGGCCAATCCCATAAATTCCATGGGAATTCCATGGCCAATCCCATAAATTCCATGGGGAATTCCATGGCCAATCCCATAAATTCCATAAATTCCATGGGGAATTCCATGGCCAATCCCATAAATTCCATGGGGAATTCCATAAATTCCCTGGGAATTCCATACCTGAGGGCGGCGATGGCGTCCTCGATGCTCCGCGCCTCCACCGCGCCCTCCTCGGGCAGCCGCCGGTTCAGGTTCTCCTCCAGAGGCAATTCCAGGTGGGATTTCTCCTTCTCCACTGCCGGGAAAAATGGGAATGCTGGCAGATCCCTCCGGGAGAGGGGAATTCCCTCGGGAAAACTCAATTATCCCGCTGGGAAATCTCCAAAAACCCGCTTTTCCCCTCTGGAAAAATCCATTTTTAACCCTCTGAAAAAAACCTCAGTTTTTCCCTCTAAAAGTCTCCGGTTTTTCCTCTAAAAAATTCCAATTTTTTTCCTCTGGAATTTTCAAAATGTTTTTCCCTCTAAAAATTTCTGGGTTTTTTTCCCCCCCTCTGAAAATTCTATTTTTTTTTTCCTTTGGAAAACTCAGTTTTCCCTCTGGAAAAATTTTTTTCTCTGTAAAAATTTCTGGTTTTTTGCACCCTGGAAAATTCCAATTTTTTTTTTTTTTTCCCTTTGGAAAATTCCAATTTTTTTTTTTTCTTCTAAAAACCCTCTGGTTTTCCTCTGGAATTTTTCCCTCTGGAAAAATCCGCTTTTCCTCTAAAAAAAACTTCCATTTTTCCTCTGGAAAACTCCATTTTTTTCTAAAAAAAAAAAAAAATCAAGTTTTTCCTCTGGAAAGGGAAAGGTGGGATTGGGAATGGGAAATTTGGGATTGGGAAAAATGCGAACACGGGAAAAATCATGGAATTCTACAGAATTCCAACATTGGAAACAAGCTTTGGGATCAAACCCCACCTCAGAGCGCCACATCCGGGATTTTTTTTTTTTGGGGGGATAATTCCACGGAATGGGAATCCCAAACCGCCCTCAGCCATTCCCAAACTTTCTCCTGGAAAAACGGCGGCTCCCCCATCCCCATCCCAGAATTCCCAGGGAATTCCCGAACCTCCGTCGGGGTTTTCCTTCTGCTGCTGCTCCTTCCGGACGTTCTCCTCGATCTGCGCCCGGGTGATTTTCCCGGGATTTCCCTGCTTGGGAGTTTTCCCTTTCAGCTTGGAATCCTCCTCCTCCAGCAGGCGCTGCAGCTCCTTGCGGCGCTCCAGCTGCTCCAGCCGCCGCTTCTCCCGCTCCTCCTGGGAATTCCCGCCCGTCCGGAGGGGTCAGAGCGGAGCCGGGGGGGTTGGGGGGTGTGG